TATAGTTATTAAGGGTAAGACAGTTCACAAATGGCCGAATTCATGTAGCGATTGCGATTTGCTTGAGGATTATATCTCGGTATCCTTATTTTTAGGAAAAATTATTAGGTCATATGTATTTATTCATCAAACACGTGAGTTCATCCCTCTTCTAAAGTTGAATGTAAACACCGACCTATTACTTGCCTATCTTCACCATATCAGAATTGATCGGCCCGCTTCTGAAGACCCGAGCTTAAGTGTTAGAGAAATATTCTGAGGTCCATCGAATAAAAATCGTTAACCTTGTTTAGTAGAATTGTAATATTTTATTCACCGTGCGGCAACTCGTGAACCGCAGGTTTAAAATCTGAGGTTATGACCATATTTCCCATCGTTCGATAGGAGGAAGGCATTTTGTTCGAGTGGCGTGACGGTGCACTGGTTGAAGCTATGACCAATGGTGACCTGTTACTGATCGATGAAATTTCTCTGGCCGACGACTCAGTTCTCGAACGACTGAACAGCGTATTGGAGTTGGACAAAGAACTGCTTCTTTATGAGAAGATCGCTAGTGATCAGGATGTGGTTTCCGTAAAGGCTACTCCAGGATTTCAGCTGATGGCAACGATGAACCCAGGCGGCGATTACGGCAAAAAAGAGGTACGTACAATACGACTTTCTGACGTGAAGTTAATGCGACAGTGTGATGGATTGTGTATAGAAAGTTTCCTAATGTTTTGAATCCTCTAAAGCGTGATGCTCTATGGTTTATTAGGAGTTTCAGAAAATTTTATCCCATCATCTGTCTTTTCGCCATTTGTGGGCGTGCCAGTAATGCAGATTGACGCTTACCAACCTTCATTAAGCGCTTATTGGCGGGTGAAATTTCGTCATTCTGTTCAGTCCGTCGTTCCTTTTGAACTCTAACCGATGCCTGTCCATCATTACTGCAGTCCAGTCAAATCACGGAGCTGAAGCACCGTAGGAGGTTTTGATCACTAAAATATATCATTGTCGATTTCCGGTCATTACCACCATCTCAACCTGTCGGCCTCGGATTCTTGAACTACTTCCACATATATCACGAATAGGAGCTTTTAGTAGTTGTTACTGATTTATTCGTATGCATATTCGTAATATGTGACCTATTTTTATCGATTTAACCAAT